ATTAAATAAATAAAAAAATTAAAAGCATGTTTGTTCTTTTCCTCAGGCAGAAACGGGACAACTCATACTGACTGACCAGTACCTCTTAGAGTTAAATTATAGAAGGTACAAGCCACCTGTACATACCAAGAGTATCTCACACACACACACACACACACACACACTTTGAAGAAACTTTCCACATGAGATTAGTCTGCACTGTTGCTCCATTTCACAACTCACAACTTGGGTGTCTCCTTGAATCAGAAAAAAATAAAACCAACATACATCCAAACAAAGTTGTATGACTTGATTAAATTGGCTCTTGTGATCAGCATGTTATCAGTCAACAACCTGTACTCATATAGTAATAAAGAAAACACTGCTTCCTCATCAAGTGGGGATGTAAAGAGGCAAAGAACTATTCAACCACATAAGATGCATTAATATGATCAAAACTGCCCAAAATAAGGCAGAAAGTACTTTAAGGTCCCTGTTCTTCATAGAGAAATGAAACAGCACTGGGCAACCACTCACTTTCAGTAAGAATGACCAGAAAACAGAAAAACACTATAGTGGGCTGGAACTCAGTCTGGTGAGATTCTCCAAGTGTCAACAAAATAAATGACCAGACAAAAACCAACAATGAATGGATCCTACAAACTAGTGTGTATGTGTGTGTGTGTATCTCAGATAATCCTGTTTTTAGAGATTCATGTCTTCAGTAAGAGGAGCCAAGAGCCGCAGACAGGGTGAGGGAGTCAAAGTGTTGAGCGACTGATTAGCATACTGTTGGTTTTAGTCTTTTCATGGGATTTTTTTGAGAGCAAGAAAAATATTAACAAATTTCCCCTTGGTGAAACGTGCGTCCGTACTATATACATCAAGGTTTAATCATTGTCGTCTACATATTGATTTTCCAAGGAACAGGATGATGATGAATCTTCCCCAGGTGCAATGAACAACACCTGCTAAATAAAGTAGTAAAATAACTTCAGTGAATGAGAGGCTATTTCAAACTGCAGCATGTGCATTTGCTTCCTGTCTTGCACCAAATATATCCATATCTAACAACAATACTCTGGATTGCATGAAATACATTTCTATTAAAGACACCACAAAGAGAAAGCGAAGAATCCCTTAGTGTTCACAGACAACATACTGTGGAATGAAGGTTAGAAAAGGTCAGTGCATCTTAGTAGGATTAAAGTCCATGAGGGACAACGTCTCTCCTTCTGTCCCAGGTCAGCTGGGTGTTGGGCGTGCAGCCGCCAGCACTCAGGTCACAGGAGTAGCCTGCAGGGCAGCAGCTCTTTGAGTCTGAGCAACAGACAGCCTGTCAAAAGGAGAAACAGCAGGTAAATCAAGATACTGAGAGTTTTATATCCCCAACATAAACATAAAGGGATAAAACTGCAGCTGCTCATTCTCCCCACTAACATTTCCCAGCCAGCTGCAGATCTGAGCCTCACACTTTCCAGTCAAACTGCACATCTGTTGCCCCATGGCTTTTATTTAGTGCTCGACTACATTAAGAAATAATCAATGCCCTGTGAGTTAACTATCCAAACAGTTCTCTGAAAACCGATTCCTGCAGAAAGCCAACTGGAGCCCAGTAGCTTTAGCACATGTAAACACACCAGGGCTGCAGCTAACACTGACTTTTATCATTGATTAATCTGCTCATTATTTTTTTTTTTTTACTATTTTGAGAGTAAGGAGTAAAGCCCATTCACAGTCCAGGGTGACACACTGGAATGTCTTGTCCATCTGACAAACAGTCCAGAATTCTAAGATGGTCCGTTTCCTGTCATGTGTGACAGAGTAAAGCGTCAAGTTATCAATTATTATCAAATTACTTCTACTGATCGACTAGCTGATAAATCGACTAATCTGAGACCTGGTTGTCTATGAATATAACCAAATCTCTTGACATCATGATAATTTCATGCAACACATCACCTAGCGCTACTGGGTAACTTGTGTCTGTAGGCCGATCCCCCCCCCCAAAAAGTATCTCTCTAACTGATCACTGGTTTTATCTAATATATTTATGTCAAAAGACAGACAGGTAAAACTGTGACTGAGCTGCTGCACGTTAACCTCCCAGAGTGAGAGGAACACACAGAAGGAAGCAGCATGTTAAACAAGGCAGAAAACTGGGAAGCATCCAGTCAGTGTCGGAGGTTTTTCGGATCGTGACAGTGTTCAGCCATCACATTCCAGATGGTCGGGCCAGAAGAATGTCAATTAACATCATTATAACACTCGGTCCATGATCAAACAGAGACCGCAGTGTGAACGTACCCTGGGTGAGGGGCAGCAGGCCCACTCTGTCACTGAGATCTTACAGCACGTGTCCTGTTTGGAGCAATGAAACACCCCGGTGCTGTCACACAGTACATCCGCCCCGTCCTCAGCATCTCTCATCACCACTCTGCTCTGAGGGAGGGTGTGGACCAGCACGTCGTGGCTCTTCTTCTCACATGTTCCGGTTTGCATGTTGCAGGTGTAGCCCTGAGGACAGCAGTGCTCGTGGTCTGCACAGCAGATGGCCTGAAGAGAAGACACAGAAACAAGCTACAGTCTGTTATCAGCACCACGACAAAGACAGCGACAGCCAAAGCCTCAAAACACTCAGGAGACAAAAATGCAGGGTAAAAACAAGCCTGAAGGGTCTTTGAGGAAAACTTTATGTATCAAAAGACCAAAACTACTAACATTTATCAAAAGACTGACTAAAACTAAATCTATACCAGGTGTAAATATAAAGACAAAGACAACCAGTGACTACAGTAAAAATACACCCAGTGTAAAGTACTTTTAAACAGGCTAAAAGTGATACTATCTAGTCACACATATTTCTGATCTGTGTTTAGTCGTGCATTTTCAGACCAAGCTGCATTTTATTCAGTTACTAAACTTCATGACTTCACAGCAGAAGGGCAGCCTGACAGTGGAGTCTGTGATGCACGCACCTTGACCAGAGGGCAGCAGCCCCAGTCTCCCTGTGATAGTTTACAGCAGGTCATTCCTGACGCGCAGCTGCTCTTGTTGTCACATTTGACATCTGTCACGGCGCCCGACTCACTCAGTGCGCTCAGTTTGGTGAACCAGGGTATAATGCGGGGGCCCTTCAAGCAGGAGGAGCGGTGTGGGTCACAGGTGTGACCGCTGGGGCAGCAGTGGCTTCCATCTTCACAACAGACCGCCTGGAAGTCCCATGCACAAATTCTCACTCACATCCAGTTAATTTTCCAACAGTGCGAGTCTGTGAAATGAGCTTTACCTTTGGCAGAGGGCAGCAGCCCCACTGGTGGCTCTTGTCCATGAAGCAGCAGGTGGTATCCTTTGGGCAGCTGGTCTGGGTGTCACACCTGGTCCCGGCTGGCCGACCTGGACTGGACACAGCCTGGCTGGGCTCCTTCTGCAGCCAGGGCAGGCTCAGGCCTCCAGGCTTGTCACAAGTCTGCTCAGCCACATTACACCTGTAGCCTTTGGGGCAGCAGTGCTCATGATCGTCACAGCACACAGCCTGGAAAACAAGATGGAAGAGCTCTTTAATAGCAAATGAAATCCTTGTAAAAGGCCAGATTTTCTCTTCCAAGAGATTTTATGCAACTTGACATACAACAAATGGCACAAAGGTAAATGAATGTTGTGTGCTGCTGCACCAGTACTGACAGACTCTGGCTCTTTGTTTAAAACTAGACTTAGCTCTTCACGGTTGTATGCTTCCGCCAACCAGTCAAATTCATAGGAACGAGACAGACGTGAGGTCACTGACCTTGACCTTTGACCACCAAAATCTAATCAGTTCACCTTTGAGTCCAGGTGGATGTTTGTGCCACATGTGGAAAAAAAATTCCCCAAAGCCATTACTGACACGTTATCTTCACAAGAATGGGCTGGCCAGAAAACAACGTCTCCAGCGTGGAGGCATGAAAACACGATCTGTTTTGTTCATTAGTTACTAATGACAATACCAAGTATTATGTTTGGACCGCTATGTCTGAATGCATAAGACCCATCACATACTGATACAGGGCTTAAACTAATGACTAATCAATTAATCTGCCACTTATGTCTTGGTTTAACTGGTTTATAAAATACTAGAGAACACTGAAAGAACTCAAAGGTGATCTCTTCAAATATCTTGTTTTGTCCGACTAACAGTATAAAGTGCCAAGATATTCAATTCAATATAATGTAAGGTCAATACCAGCAGCACATTCTCCCATAGAGAACCTATAACAGTTGTGTTTTTCTGCTTGGGGGAAAAAAAAACTCATAAATCTAATAATCGATTAGCCATTAACTTAAAGCTGATTTATTGTTCCTGTGTAAGCCATCATTTAAACAAACTGTATAATAAAGTTGTGAAGTTGGAAGGTAGCGCAGACCAAGTGTCCCTGCTGTGAATTCTCATTCACACTCCACTGAATGATCTAATGATACTGTGGATTTAAGTTATGGCCGTCAGACTTAATCATTTAAGCTGTGTTTCTGAGTAACCCTGCTTTTTCACTCAGTTTAGTATGATGGATGACTTGGAATAAAAGCCACAAGCTTTGGCGAGCGTATGCATGAATGCAGGATGATTCACACCTTTGATCGACTGCTTCCCATCGGCAGAGAAGGAAAAACAGGAAAGACAAACCTCACACTGACCCAACTTGGAAATATTTAGACATTATTCCAACCTGCACTGCAAAAGGCCACCAGTCACCACAGAGAGAAGACAACAGCACATGTATCTCTGGCAAGGCACAACATTCACTCATGCAATGTGAGAAATGAGATCCAGAAGAACACAAAATGTGTTCTAAAATCCTTGACCCGGATTGGATCTGGACCATCTTTTAGAGCATGACAGGCAGTTATACTGTGCAGCTTACCTGAACATTTCAGGGATCTATCTTCATTGTAGGCCAGGTTATGGCAGAAAATGTGTTAAATGATGGTGGTGTGTTGCTGATGGTGAACAAGAACAGACAGACCCTCAAACACACCGGTGTCCTCTGACCAACACCTGTGCACAACTAGCCCTTTGACTGTGAAGAGAAAGACACAGACCTGAGGTAAGGGGCAGCAGGCCCACTGTCCAGAGTTGCTCCTACAGCAGGTGGAGCCTCTCGGACATATGGTCTGCTGGTCGCACTTCTCATCTGAAACGGTCAGAGCAGAGACTTTTTCCAGCCAGGGGATGGCCGCTGGGGAACCAGTCGGGTTGTCACACGTTTTAGCCTCCAGGTTGCACACGGTGCCGTAAGGGCAGCAGTGGATGCGGTCGTCACAGCAAACAGCCTGAGAGGGACCAGGAGAGTATGTGTTACCTGCATGTTTTATTGTGTCAGGAAGCTTTGTAGCCAAAAACCAAAGCACGTTAAACACCCAGACACTGGGTGCTGCTGAACTCCATCCACTCCACTCCCACATTACCTGAGGCAGAGGACAGCAGGCCCAGGTTCCACCTGCCGTCTTGCAGCAGGTGGAGCTTCCAGGGCATGATGTGGATTCATCACACTTGCTGTTGTCAGTCAGTAAGGGGAAGACGGGTGTGTTGGCAAGCCAGGGCACCAAAGCGTTGCCTGTAGCATAATCACATGTGAAGGCTGCCAGGTTACAAATGGTACCATGGGGACAGCAGTGCAGGTGGTCCTCACAGCACACGGCCTACAGGGAGGAGACACAACCAATGCTGACTCATCTGCACTGTACACAAAGCTTTGGACAACTCACATGCTGTTGACTTTTTGCTGCTCCATTTTTCCATCACACTTTAGGTCAGTTTTAATTGCACCTGTCCACATCTCTAGTTTCTTATCCAGATGTTGCTCTGTGAACTTCAGATGCTGACTTTCATGTTGAAGTGGCCAGTTTGCTGCAGGAGCTGTGTTAACTTATTTTCCTTTAAATTACAGACTTTGCCCAGGGGAGGATGATTGTACTGATTATTTAGCAACCAAAGAAATAATATCTGTACGGGAAAACCAGCCTCCTTGTGCAGCCTGTCCTCCATTAATGGACAGTGAAACTAGAATATGTGCCAAGAATGAATAAAAGTTTGCATTAATCATGTTGAACATGCTCAGATGAGTGCTGCTACTGAACCACAACGAGATTTTCCATCAGGAGAGAGACCATTTGTAAAGGCTGCTGACAAGTGGCAAAGCACTGAAGACAAGAGATGAATTACAAGCAAAGAAACATGTGGAGCAACTCTGTGCAGTTGGACAGAGTCAAACATCATCCGTCTGTCTCAGCATCTCACACACAGCAGTGTGCTGGTACCTCAGGTAAAGGACAACAGGTCCATGTTCCCGCTGGCAATTTACAGCAGGTGCTTCCGTCATCACAAACCACGGATTCATTACAGGGAACAGCACTCCCTGAAAGACAAACAGAAACAGCACATGTTTGCAAACTTTATTTAAATACAAGTCAGGATTGAAATGATGAATTACCCGACAGAAAACTAATCGCTAGCAATTTTCAATAATCAATTAATCATTCAATGGCTTCAGCTTCTCAGTTGTGAATTTGCTACTTTTTTCAGTTTAATTTTTTTTTTTTTTTTTTAATGTGCATACACTCACCAGCCACTTTATTAGGTACACCCGTTCAGTTGTATGCACGTCAATCCAACACTTCCGCCTTAACATCTGTTTTTATGAAGCTCAACATGTTTCAAGTTTGGGTGAAATTGGCATAAATGTATAAATTCCATTCTGTTTATTACTGATGTCATAGTTAAAGGTGGTTTTGTACTGCACTAGATTATATTCATAGTCGTCTCTATATTTTTGTCCTCCCCAGCTACATACATGAGAGGGTCAGAATATTAAGAACACCTCTGAATATAATCTTGTCTAGTACAACACCACCTTTAACTACGGCCTCAGTAAAAACACAGAATTGAACTTATACATTTATGACAATTTCACCATAAACTGAAAAATTTTGAGCTTCATAAACACACATATTAAGGTGGAAGTGTTGCATTGAAGAGTATACAGTTGTACAGGTGTACCTAATAAAGTGACCAATCTGAGTATTTGGGCGAATAATCAGCTGTTATTTCACAGGGTTCGGTGATAAGCACACGATTCCTCTCCATCTTGTTTCTTTTTGTTCTAGCAGCGTGAGGTAAATAAATTTACTGCAAAACACAGTGATTCTTCTTAATTTAACATGAACACACACAGTAGTTGGTGCTTACTGATGGTGGGTAAAGCTGGGATCTTCTTCAGCAGTGGCACGTGTGTCTCTCCAGACTTGCAGACACTGTGCTCCAGGTCACACACGGTGTTGCTTGGGCAGCAGTGGAGGTGATCGCTGCAGCACGTGGCCTGCACATAATCAACAAAGAAACATCCTGTTAAGCCCTAACGCTGCAATCATTTCAAGAAGATTGTGTCACACTAAGCCAGAATCAATTCTCCGCTGGTTTTATGACTGCTCCTCATCAAGTCAGATGTACAAGAACCTGAGAATGTTGTTGAAAAGCAGTAGGATGAAATGTTAACATTACAGTAACTCACTGTGTTATATTGCAAATCTAAAATTCCATGTGAGTATATCAATTTAACACATTGATAATAATTTAAAGCATTAAAATGCTGCAAATCCTCTCATTAGAGAAGCCAAACCAGTGAATGCATGACTCAAGGTTTATCAAAAGTGATGGTGACTAATTTTGCCTCAATGAACTGATCATTTCAGCTCTAGCACATTTTTCAATGCAAATTTAAGACATCTTGAGGCAGCTTCAAGGGTAATTTAAGACCATTTTACATTCATACTGGTAAAAAAGTATGAAGGACATGAAGAAACTAGAATTACTGCCTCATGGTTTGATGCCTCCACCAGCCAGGGAGGTCGCAGTTTACATGCAGGTCAGTCCAGACATTAATATATATAATGAAGATGGAAGTCGGACGTGAGATTCTAATAAATACTTTCCAATGAGAAAATTAGAGGACTGATACAGAGTTTTGTTACACTGTCCTTGAGTCCAGATTTGTGCCAATTGGAATAAATTCCCTCAAGGATTTCTTTGGAAATTGGTTACGAGAACAGGGCGGACAGACGATGAGAAAACAAGACGACTCCAACAACGCCACAGCAGAGGTATAAAAATCTCTTAAGTATTCATGTATGTATGAATCCTTTGCAAGTCTTTCTTGGACCCTGATTTTAGCTACAGTGGGGAGCATTTAGGTGTTTAATGTTGGCGCAGATCCAAACGTTTTGTGCAGGTTTGTGACCGTAGCTGCAGGAGCTGGTGCAGGGCAGGTCGTGCAGGAACCTTGGTGATGCTCCCGATGTTAATACACAACAATATTGTTTGATGGAGGGTGTCTGCTGAAGGCTTTTAACAGCAGTTTGTGTTTTCCCATCTTCCTAATGTCAGCATTTTCTTGCTCATGGTGGTAGCTGTGTTTAACAGGCTTCACCCAAACACTGAATGTTTTCAGTACAGGTCTCACTAAACCTGCACTTCCCCACATTAGCCACTGATGGATGACACGCCATGTTAACTCACACAACACGACTCACTAGCTGAGAAGTCTCTAATAAATTCTGACCAGGCTGCAAAGTCTGCAAATGTTCTGGGTCCAAGTTGGTTTGTAGTTTTATTACAGCATGACAAAGACAAACTGAAGAGAGACAAAATTACAGCATGGAACCACTGGTAGAACTGAAGTTACATTAACTTAATATTAAAATAATCTATTTCACCTAAATATGATCAGCAATTTTTAAAATCCTATCATCATATTTAAGACTTTTTCAGGCCTAAACATCAGAAGAGTGAATTTTAGACTAAAAATCCACAGAGACCCTGGCAAGACATTCATATATACCTCTGGGTAGGGGCAGCAGCCGTAGTCTCCACTGGTGAGCAGGCAACATGTGTAACTATTTGGGCAGCTGCTGGTCCCATCAGGACAAGTCACTGAACCAAAAGTCAAAGCTGCAGAAACAAAAAGAGCATCAAGAGAAATATCAGTCACTGGTTAATAGTGCAGTATTGTCATTGTATAACTGTAGAAAGATAGATGGCTTTCGATGACTTTTAAAAATCTTTTTACTACTTACTCATGAGATTTTTCATGCAGATCTTTGGCCAGGCACAAATACATACACATAAATTTTATGGCTTGTTTGAAGGTGTTTAGTTACATGAGGAATTCCCCACCTGGCTTCCTCTCCCTCCTTTTGGCAGGCACTTTCTCCATCATGGGGGAGGACTCCAGGGAGGCAGAGACACAGCTGGAGTGAAGAACATCACACTTGGTTCCCTCTGGGCAGCAGTGGCGTTTATCCTCACAGCACACCGCCTGCAGAGAGAAGCAAATGATCTCTGACAGTCAGGAACACACCTCAGGCAAGATAATGGAAAAGTACAGATGCACAACTTGAATGCAAAAAAATTTAAAAAAAAAAAGCGATCTCTGAGCGGTAGAGTGGTGGAATCATGGCTCTGCTTTTGGAAAAGTACATGTTGAATCTACCATGTCAGCTGTTGTAGCAGGTGTTTTTTTGCAGGGTTGCTACAGGAACATTTCCTGTTGCTCTAAACAGAACTAGGGAACTGGATTATAACATCATCACAGTGAGCCTGGAGCAGAGCTGACACACAAGCAGTAGAAGCTGCCCAACAAACCATGTAATTTGATGTAAAATGCTGGGGGTTTGTGTTGAGCCTGTGGTTTCAGGTGACAGTCTACTGGTATTTGTGTGGACGTGCGGGAGAGGGGGCTCATGTGTATCACCTTGACTAATGGACAGCAGCCCCAGGAGCCGTCGGGAAGCTGGCAGCAAGTAGTGCCATCAGGACACTCTGACGTCTGGTCTGGACAAATGACCGCCTTCATGTTCTCACTGAGCTGGAGGCAACACAGGCCACAGCCAGGGCAGTGACAGAAGCACACATGGGCAACAACAGTCAAAAAAAAAACATGTTAATGACAAGATCACAGTGGAAACTATAACAATGTTACTGAAAGTGGTTGTGAAGATTTTAGATTTATTTCTTTCAAATATTATTAAGGTACCACAATAAAAGAAATGAAATTAAACTAGACCCTTACAATATCACGGCCTAAAGTGATGAAGAACACACAGCTCATGGAGGCTCTGATGACAAGCAGTCAACAAGTTGTGCAGATATTTTGCTCTGAGGCAAAATGTTAGGCTGAATATTGAGCCACTAAAACAACTAATTTGTGTCCTTCAGTTTACTGCTAGCAAGTCAAAGACATGACGTGGTGTTGTGTCATTTGTTGTCTTTGTTCTACTTCCTCCTCATTTCTGCAGTTGTTTACTGCATTTGTCCATGTATCATTCATCTTGTGTTCACACTAAACATTTGTGTGTTAAGATCTAAAAGAGAGCTCCTTCTGCATGTTCTCTGCACTGGGCAAACAGCAAAGAGAGATGAGAATAAACAAAGTGTCACCACATGTCCAACATGCTGTCTGACCTATATTCTCTAAGCAATTATATTTTCAGGTCATGACTGAAGTTGGTGCCAGAACTTCAAGCACTGTTGGTGCAATGGTCGACAAACAGGCCAGACCTTCTACACAACATCTGAAGAGACAGAACACAAAATAATGAAGAGGTAATGTAACGTCTTTGTTCTTAGTAAATAAGCTTGACTTCTTCCCACTCCGTTTCGAGCAATGGATTGATTTATGTTGTTAATGTAAGGGACTGTACCTTGTAGGGATTGAATGCTTTTATTGCCTTGTTATATGTCACTATTGCTCGAAATAAATAAATAAAATGAAAAAATGATTACCTGAGGACCAAGCAGGGCGTGGCTGGTTGGGAGTCGTCTCATCCAGGGCAGGGAGACTGTCTTATTGACACACATCTGGTGGACCAGATCACACAGGGTCCCCTCAAAGCAGCAGTGGAGGTGGTCTGAACAACACTCAGCCTGCACAAGCAAACAAAGCACATGCTGAGGAAAAAGAGTTCAAACAAATGAGCCAAGCTAACAAGGGTCCCACTATACAGATACACAATTTTCTAAAAAGAAACAAAGGATTATAATAAAATGCTAATTAAACTATGATTACATATGCAGGTGTATAGAAATGTAGATCAGATCACATAAAATGTAAGAAAGTTACTGGGACGGCAACTAACAATTATTTCTATCATCACTGATAAAAGGTGCACTATTTGGTCTAATAATGTCCGAGAAAGAACATTTTCTAACTGTAACATCTTCAGATTTCTTGTGCTGCTTGTTCAAAACTCACAAAATTGAATTTGAAAAGGCTGCAATTATTCACCTTTGCTGGGCTGGAACCAGGGAACTTTTGGCCTAACTGGTTAAAGAAATAATTATCAAACTAGTTCCGGACTAACTGATTAATTGACTTATTATTTCTCTAATTATGTGCCTACATATATTGTATGTATGTATGTATGTATAACTGTGCCTACATATATTGTATGTATGTATAATACACACATGGGTTGTAGTAGGCAGTGACTGATAGTGAATTTGCAACTACTTTGACAATCAAACAATATCATTTATGAATCAAGAGTACAGGCGGTTTAACTGAACTAAAGAGCCTCACTCAGAGCAGAAACTGGCTGGGCACTCACATGTGAGAGCGGGCAGCAGCTGTATCCTCCCACACTGTTCTTGCAGCAGGTGTTTTTGTCTTCACACATGCCTCCGTCAGGACAGACCAGTGCTGAGCTGAGGCCCAGCAGAGCCACACACAAGATCCCCATGTGCAGTGTCTGAACACGGGACCGAGAGAAGAGGAGCCATGAGCAGTGCGGTGGGACAAAATGTGATCTGAACAAAAAAGCCTGAACTACTCAGTCTTATCTTTTTGGTTTCTGTGTTGCTTTGAGAAGGTTAAAATCTGTGCAGAAGCTCAGAAAACATCCAACTGATGCACAGGATTTCCACAGTAAACAAACCCAGACACTTTCTGTAAAGTTCATGTGCCTTGTTCATATGTACAGCGCTCACATCAGAGGCACTTCCTCAGTGGCTGCAGTGCAACAGCAAACATCATGATGTGTAAGGTTTAAATATACTCCTCTACTGTTATTAGGGTTTCTGTTCTGCCAGTAACCATTTAATCTGCTACAGATGTTAGGGCTGTGACTAATGATTATTTATATGATAAGTTAATGTGGAACATAAAGATTGTGGCATTTTTACACAAAGATACTTAAATACAGAGGTAGACTCAGATTCTTTACTTAAGTAACAGTAAAAGTGCCAGTGTAAAAATACTATTACATTAAAAATTTTACTTGTAATTTAAAGTTATTAACATCAAAAATACCTGAAGTAGCAAAAGTAAAAGAAATGATTCTGCAAAGTGGCACATTTCACATTAATGTATATGATATTGCTGGATTGTAATTATTGATGTTCATCACTTTAATGTTGCAGTTGAGGTGGTGTAAGATTTCAGTTATAGACTCTAGTTACTTTATCAGCTTTAGTTACTTCTCATACCTTTATTTTCATTGTTTATACATATTACAGCTGTATTGATGATTGTCCAGAACTACTGAGCTTTGGTTATTTTTAATACATTTGTTTTCCTTGCTTATACAGTACATCTTACAATTGTAATGAAGCAGAATCTGCTTACTTTGCATGCTGTAACTTCTATTGAGACTAGATGTCTGCATCTCTTTGTGACCAGACCGCCTATTTACATTTTAACAGAGACCTGTTGGCCTGTTTTACACACACACCTCGACCCACTTTGCATATCCCAAGCTTTGCTTTGTCTTGGGATGTCGTGCAGAGGCCGGGGGCTACAACCTGAGATGACCACCTGGCCAGTTTAACATACTTGTTAGCGTCACACACACAGGGGGCCTGCAACTCAGGCCGCTCACTGATCAGCTTAATTCGGGGTTCCGAGAATGGAATTCCTGTGGGAGCACTATCTCTCTGATCCCAGCGCTGTAAGGCCTACCTGCGCTCAGACTTTCAGTAAACTTTCTGTTGATTTTAAACAGTCCTCTCCTGTCTTCACTTCTCGTGCTTTCAACAAAAGAAATGGGTTAATTTCTAACAGTGGGGAAGGTGGAGCAAAGGTTATAATATAAAGTACTTCACATACTGCTGGGTAGCTGGTCAATTTACTACCAGGGATCAATAAAATCTTATGATTATAATGTATTTTATTGAACTGATTCTGAAAAGTGACTAAAATTATCAAACATGTAGTGCAATAAAAAGTACAATATTTGCCTCTGAAATGTAGTCAAGTATGAAGATCAACACCCGCAAAGTGGCAGGACCGGACAACATCCCTGGGAGGGCTCTCAGGGCATGTGCCAACGAGCTGGGTGATGTTTTCACCACCATCTTCAA